TGGTGGGATCTAGTCTGTGTTAGGGTAATGTAATGTAACTTTTTTTTCTGGTAGGTTTTTAGATCTAACGAATGGATAGTATAAAAAGAAGCGAGTTTTCACTGTAAGTTAGCAATAACATTATTTTTTGCTCATATATATTTTTTAAAAAAAAGTTACCTGCAATTTAGTTCCAAGGTAATGCTTTATATGAGGTTGTGACATTTATAGCAAAAACTACGAAAGTGAAGCTTATTAAAATTTTATATTTAGAAAAAATGGCCACTGAAGTTCCTGATAATTTTGAAACCAAGTTTCAAGTCGCTCTCGATCCAAGTATACATACAATAAGGTTAAAAGTAAAATTGAGAATCAATTAAATACCCCTGTTAGTCGTATTGCTAATATTCAAAATTTACAACCAGGAGAGAGATTTTCTAGAAATTTTACTCCTGAAGAATTTGAAAGGACAATCTTTATTATAATTCCATAGAAATATTTTTTTTTATTTGCATTATGTAACAGCGATATATATTTTTTTATTTGTATATTATATCGTCATCCCGGCAATATAATTTTTTATAATAATAAAGGGAGGGGTCCACTGGGCTTCTAATTTTTTATTTTTACGCGATTTTTTATAATGTAATTTGCGATTATTAATTAGTGGAGACTATTGAGTTAACTTTATTAATCTCCTGTTATGGGATTCAAGTATCGCGTGTTAATATGCACTAATTATATAATCAGAATTTTTATAAGTTTTTTTCCTGCTACTTAAATCATAATAATAACCTCTATCAGATTCACCATATTCATTATATCTACCACATCCATTATATCCATTGTCATCCGATTCATCTGGCATCTCTTCTTCAGAATAATTGTTGTGACTATGGTCACTATCATCATGCGAAAGCGCCTGGTTCGAAGAACTTCTTTGGCCTGGCTCTACCTTATCTGATCGCAAAGCAACCTCATCATCAAAATACATATCATCATCAAATTCTTTATCAAAATATACATTATCATAGTCGATATTGGTCTCTGCCTTAGCTGAATCTTCAGGTATGGGTAAGATTTTTCCAAGACGGGCCGAAATTTGATGTCCTACATTATCTGTATTGATGTTCTGACAAGAATAATTTATAATCTCTTGAATTTGATTATTAGTAAGCTTTAAAATGGAATTCGCACTATATGATTTAATGTATTTAATTTTATCATGACCTATTTTTTCGAATAATGTATAAATTTTCTCAGCTCTCTGAGTTTTTTTGCGCAAAGCATCTCGCGATATTTCTGGAAGATGTAAACCCAATTCTTGAGATCTTTTTTTACGGATAATAGAAGCTGTTTTGTAATGGAATCATAAAGTAAGCTTCTCGCCTTCTTTTCACCAATTTTACCTCTGCTATTTTTAATAA